AGGGAGAGGGAGAGGGAGAGGGAGAGGAAGAGGGAGAGAGAGAGAGAGAGAGAGAGAGCAGGGAATAATGATCTCATTCGGAATTACTAACGCCGGACGGAAGCGTACCCGCCAGCAAGCCGGGGCCGGATCAGCTGCAGCGCGGTGCGAATGGCGAGACGACCCAGCAACAACACCAACAATAACAACAACAGGCTGCTGATGATAATGAAGTGTACGTACTGGTGGCGACCGGATGCAGGTAGGACTATGAGAGCGGCGCGCAGCACGTACGAGCACCACGACAACTATACCGACAACCCCTCTCCCCGCCTTCTACCCTCTCCTGGAGCAGAGACCCCGGCGACACGCTCTCAAACTTTCGGGGTCCTCTCGTCCTGCTCCCGCCTCCTGTTTACAGGGATGCGCGTGGAGAGATGAATAGGGTCGCGGGGGAGGGTCCCGATATCAGTTCGACCGCATTGAGTTTGGGTTACAAGCAGCAGCGGTCCGGGCGGGGTGAAGTGCAGTGCGACCGGAAGCAGAGTAGCGCCGCGAGCACAACCGGAAGTGTTGCGCGGCCGCCGACCGTCGCGTTGCGGCGGCGCGGGACGGTTGACTTTCTGACCGGAACCGACCGCGGGGTTCGCCCTCGCACCGCATTCCAGCAGCAGGTCCAGTTCCAGGCCGATAGCGTCTGTGCGTGCGGCGATTATTCACCGGGACTCGGACAGCGCGACATTCGCAAAACATTAACGGGGGCTTCGTAGTTACACACACACCTGACCTTCGGGTGGGGGATGGGGGAGGACTAGAAGGGAAGGTCGGCAAATAATTGGTACAAAGGCCTCGACTCAAAAAGGGTTCACTCCGAAATTAACCGCGGTTTGTCCATGTTTCTCGATGTTTACAGTAGACCGAAAGAACACAATGACTCACTGCAAAAAACTTCGCCAAAAATTGGACGTTTTTCATGAGATGGAATACTCTTTTTTTAAAAAAACAAAAGGCTTTCTGTCTGCTCGACTTTAGTTATGCCTGTAGGAAATTTTCGGGACTCTGATTTTCCCAACAACAAGTGACCCGGCCCATCATAATCTTTCAGATCTCTTTTCGCCTGCACCAGCAAAAGATCTCGAAAAATTTAGATCAAGCAAAGATGCTACGTGTGCCCCATTAGAGATGAGCTTTTTTCCCACTGCAGACCGACCACGCAGCAGCGGCCCACCGCCTGGTCGATCAGATACGGGGAAAACGCTCATTTCTGTGCCCTATCCAATGCGGACTGATGGGTTCACGGAAACCCATACACCTAACCTCAGTACTCGACCGTGTGCCGGCACAAACGGCGCCCAGCGGCCGTCGCCCGCCCCGCCATGTCCCACCTCATCCCGACGGGAGGGCGCCACCCCCCGGCGCCGCCCGCCCGCAGAGCAAGCCGTTACGCCCACGCCATAGGACCGCCCGGTGGCTGTGATGAAGTTTATTATAGATTTCCCCGAGATAAATTGCCTCATGTCGCCTCGACCACCCGCCAGCCGCCGCGCCACACTGCGCGGCCCACGCCACGCCGCGCCACGACGCCGACAGGAAATTCTATAAAGACACACATTATTATTCTGTCTGCAGTCCCGCCTCACCTCGGCCGCCCCGCCACGCCACGCCACGCCAAACGGTGAGGGGCGATAACAGCGCGTGCGGGCGGCGGGCCGTGCGGATTAAGCCCGCCACTATCGCGGCCACGGCAGCCACCGCGCAGCCCAAGGAAAAGCCTCAAAAAATCAAAAGAAGAGAAAGAAAAAAAAAACAACTGGAAAAAAAAGGGAATAAACCGTCTGCTCGGGCCTAAAGCGGGTGCCACGCCAGGGCCGGCCCAGTGTGTCTTCAGCGTCGTGGGGATTGCGGAAGAAGTGGGTAAAGTCCTCGACCATGTGGACTTGAGTAAGTTACATTTCAGTCCAATTTTCAACAAATGACAAACAATCATCGTCGTATACACGTTATTCTGGAGGGATAAGGATGAGCTTAAACAGAGATTATTTTAGTGTTAGTTAAATGAAATTTTACAGAGTGTTAGCCGCGCAACCCAGACGATAATGATTTTTCGATGAAGGTGGGGAGAACGAAGGATGAAGAGGCAGAAACGTGGGTCAAGGAGGGAAAAAGAGTGAGAGAGAGACAGAGGGGGAAGAGAAGGAGGAGAAAGAGAGTGAGTAAGAGCGCGACGAGGGCGATTGTCGGTTCGCGACGGGGCGGCCACCCCTTATACATTAATGACCACGACACGACATTTTCCACCAAACTTTTAATGAAACACAGACAGCACGGCCTGGGGGGCCCAAGGGGGCGCCGGGGGGGCTCCAAAGAGGGCGGTGAGGACGACAAGAAGGGGGGAGGGGGAGGGGGAATTAGGGAAGCGAGGGTGTATAACACACTCTGTTACACTGCATCATTTGCGAAGGGAAAAGGAGAGGACGGCGACATGACAATCGCTAATCGGGCGACACCATACCCTGCAGCACGACCACGCACGGAGCGCCGCAGGCGAGCACGCAGAGACAAAAGGAGGCAAATCCCTCCCGCATTTACTATGCATGGCGCTATTCCCCGCGACAGCGCCGCCTGGCGTGGCGTGGCGGGCAGTCGATCTAGCGCGCGCTTGTTTCGAAACAGAAACGACACCAAACAGCCCCCGTGTAGAGTCCCATAGGGCCTCCCCCCAACACCGCCGCCGCCTCTCTGCACCTCTTGACGCCCCACACTGAACCTTTGACTAATAATACCCAACCCAGACGCAGCACCACCGCGACAGGGTGGG